TAATCTATCACGGTATCTTCGGAAGCTACATATCAAAAGGAAGCGCGCATGGGATAGGGTGGCTGGTAATGGATATGTGAACAATTGGGATAAGTTCGATCAAATCTATATTATTTCGCCAAAAGGTTGAGAAAGGATAATGATCTGTAGAACGCAGAAACCATTGCCTTGGAAAATAAGGGTTCGTTTTTTATGACATTAATTCGAGACTAAAAGAGAAGAGCAGAGTAGGAGTACGCTTGTCTGATAATGGAGCGGTAATATCAGATGACTTCAATAAAGCCGAACGCTTTGGGGAGGTTTTTGAAAATGCTTTCTAAAGAGGTTGCACAGTTGGATGGAAGTCACAATACTCCTTGTTATGCAGTGATGGAAGATGGATCTTGGTTTTATGGTGAAGAATTCTATAAGCTGGTCGCTTGGCCCAAGTCGACATCCCTTACGCCTGATATGGTCCCGTTAGAATTCATAAAGTTGATAGCACATATAATTGCTGGTCTCCTCCAGTACTGTTCAATTTGAGCACGATGAAAACCGAGGTACCGGATGGGTAGCGTACATCATACATTAATCCGCTTCCGAAAAGAAACCTTCACCTCTCCTCATAGTTTCCATCATTAAGCATCACCTCATTATTCGCTAGACTCTTTGAAAAGATACTGAAAAAGTATATTGTTAGCATCTCAATAGCAATAACGTCATCTCTCCATGCAACATGGATTTCAAAGTGGCAAGTTTCCACAACAGTCATGTTGCAATGCCTTGATTGGACCCGAAAACTTTAATAATGGACAAATTACCGATGTTTTGGACTTCACCAAAGCTTTTGATAAGGTACCACATCCAAAATTGTTGAGGAAATTAGTGATGGTAGGCATACATCCACGCATTGTAGCGTGGATAAAAACCTTTCTTCAGAATTTTTTATGGTGCACATTACTGGAATTTTCTCCAGTCCGATAAAGATGTATAGCGGAAATCACAAGGCAAGCTCTCACTCTATTGTTCGATATCTATACTCACGAGCTGCTTACAATTCCTTTGGGTCAGGGGTGATCTCTTGCAGCGCTTTCGCGGATGATTTCAAACTGTATGCAGTTGTAAAGGATGCGCTAGACTACGAACAGTTGCAAAGAGCGCTTAATGAGGTTTATAATTGGTCGCAGGAGTGGTCTCTTCCCATTTCCACAGAGAAAACTAAAGTGAATACATATCGGACCGAAAATCTAATCAAAATTCCAAGTATCTTCTTGGGGAATCTTTTCTTCGAGAGGTTGATTCTATAAGAGATCTGGGCTTTATGGTTAAAAGTGACCTTCTCATTATTTTTGACGATCACAAGTTTAGCAGATGCAGCCACAAGGTCGGTAATAGAATCTGTTTGATCTTTTGCTATCAATGACACGACTTCACTCATCAAAGCTTACAAATCATTTATCAGGCTTATGGTAGAGTATGGCAGTCATATTTTACCACACTTGCGTAGAACGATTGACTATATGGAAAGTGTTCAGAACAGCTTTACACACAAACTCATCCGAAGGGTGGCCTTTAGTTAAGATCTCATACCAAATGATATGGCGCGAAACCCTGAACTGGGGCTTGCATCTCTTGCTTATAGAAGGCGTAAGTTCAACCTCATGCACACAAAATAGCATATGGTCATTGCGGCTTGTTTCGGGGCTTCCCGCCGAAATATCTAATACAAGAGGAGGAATAGGAAATCGATTACCTCCAGGCACAAGACAAGGTCCGTAAATGCTTTTTCACCTGTCAGATCACTGTCATCAACGACATGGGTAAACTCATTAGAAAATTATTTCCTGCAAAGTTGTCTTCGTTTAAGACCGTTTGAGCTATCTATAGTCTTAGTGAAATGTTCCTACTAACACGGGTTGATTACGAGTTATCACATGACCTTAATCTCGAGTCATTTGTAACTTAAAGGCAGTGTCCGGGCAAAAAGTCGATTTTGAGATTTTGTGCTTATACGGGCCCATTCGCCATGCTGAATCCGAAAATCCACAAAGGGAAGCGCGAAAACGGCGAAGAAGGGCCCTAACACAGGAGGGAAATCAGCAGGTGGGCGGGGCTTTCCCCAGTGCGATTTCACGCTCCCGGCTCCCGGAGCGATTTTCTCGATTCCGCTAGCCGTCCTAACATCGCTACCGGTCAAGTGCGAATGATTGACTTGAAACCGGAAGCGAGAAGGTCCGGAAGCCGGGAACGTGAATTCGCAGTGGGGAGGGCCCCGCCCACCTGCTCATTTCCCTCTTGTGTTAGAGCCGTTTTTCGCCATTTCCGCGCTCTACAATGTGCATTTTCGGATTCAGCGTAGCGAATAGGCCCAAGTAAGCACAAAATCTCAAAATCGAGTTTTTGCCCGGACACTGCCTTTAATATGTAAGATTGCACACTAACAAGGGAGGTCGAATCAGTCGAAGCGGCCTTTCCAAATGGGCGTTGAACGCTGATTCCGAATCTGCCTTCATTATCTGCCGAGCGCTTCTGGACGTCGAGTTATAAAAATTTTTTGGAGCGAAAAATGAACTCAGAATTCAAGTAAAATTAACTATTACGGACTTTTCAGCGCCTAAATAGAGCAACATGTAGTATGAGTGTTTTGGACAGAAGGTATCCTTTGTAATGGAGTGCTCTGATAACCAACTTCGGACCATTTGAGCAATTCTGACGAATTTTGCTCTAATTACGCATTAAATTTTTCAACCAAAGGAACGCTCATAACTCGGCGTCCAGAGGCGCTCGGCAGATAACGAAGACAGATTCGTAATCAGCGTTGCATGCTCTATAAAATAGTATGCATTTCATATGGAAACGCCACTTCGACCAAGTATCCTTCCCTTGTAAGTCCTATAAGCGACGGCACCCATACTAGTAATTTCCTATCAAAGCATTTTCTAGCCTAACAAAATGTAGAAATGTGTTCTACTGACTGACATATAACCAAATTAAACAAAAGAAACAAGGAAACAAGGAGAAATCACTGGAAATGAGCAGATTCTGGTTTCGCAGTTTGTCAGTTAGCGTGTATAGTGTGCACTACGCATATTAAGTTATAAATGACTCGACGATACATTTTCGTTAAGTTTTGTTTTATTTTTGTGCTGATCCGTTGTTGCGGTTATCATAGGGTCATCCTTAATGTAATAAATGAAATGAAATGAAAATCAGCTGAGGCAACCTATAATTCTGGAGATGAATATCTTATATATAAAGCTGAATGTCTGTTTGTCTGTCTGTCTGTCTGTCTGCACGTATGTTCCGAATAGAAAATTCCATTTCTGAGCCGATCTGGACCAAACTTGGTACACATACACTTCGGGCCCCGGCGGGTGTCATAGGCTACTTTTCGTCATCGATCGATATCGATTTTATCGAATTTGCAAAATTTGAGCTACGGGGCTGGGAGTTGGCACGGGTGGAGGACTATAGTCGCCGAATGTGGAAGAGTCCCACGCGGATTTCCTGCAGGAACGCATGTCCGCTCACGTACAAGGGTGCGTATTTGTCGCAATTGACCGCGGGGACCGCCCTTTTTCGGCGACATATAGTCCTCTAGCCAGTTGGCACAGGGGGGGGGGTAATCGAGCATGCTGATTACGAATATAATAATGACAGGGCCGGGCGAAGCCGGGTAAGTCAACTAGTTCTATCTATAATTAGCATGCTCTTACTCTGCCAAATCTCAGCCCCGTTGCTCAAAGATTGCAAAAAATTGGTAAAATATCGTTGAATGCAAGGGTAATTTCCCAGATTAACATTACTCTCGTATTCAGCATGCGTATTTGTCTCTCTTTGCTAATCCCAGCCTCGGAGCTTGAGATTGCAAAATATTCATAAAATCGATATCGAATTATAACGAAAAGTAGTGTACGACACTCACTTGCTTTATAGTGCAGTGCACAAAGTTTGGTCCTGATAGGTTTAGAAACATACTCTTTTACTCGGAAACCTAAATATAGTCGTTCACAGCCAAGTAAGCACATGATCATTTTCGGGCACTCTCAGTCCCTTTCCTTTCTCCATATCATTGCTTATCCGTTCACCTGCCCCGTGCTTGTGAGGAAAAACGCTGCGAATTTGACACAGGGTTGAAGAATGAATGCTGTTTCTGCTCCATCTATCCGGGAAGATGTGTCTATGTGCGCTCGTCCATTCTTCCCTCGTTATTTTTGTTCAGGATGTCGCTGCATACTCTTCCATCTGTATTGAAAGGCGCAAAGACCGCTTTCAAGAGCAGAACGCTGCTCTGGAAAGCGATCTTTGCGCCTTCATTCTTCAGCCCCGCCAAGTTCGAAGCTTTTCCTATTTGAGGAGAAGCGGAGGTAGAAGAAGGAACGGGTAAGCAGTGATATGGAAAAGTGGCTGATAATGCTCAAAGTAGATCTCCTCAGAAAACAAGAGAGAAGTCCCGGCTTTTGGCACACTGATTGCCCTAGCTCGAGTGAGGTGGTTTTGAAACTACGTAAAGGCTTTCTGGAACATATTAAGTAGGTCTGACTAAAAATACGAAGAAAGAATGTATAGCGCACAAAGATATATCTTCCTAGACGTATGGAAGCAGAACGGCGCTCATTTTCCAATCCCCCTTCAAAATCGAAGCTTCATAAAAAGAGGAAGCGGAGTAGAGCAATGAAGCCGAAACTAGTGAAATCTAAGAGAAAAAACCATTGAAACAGCCAAAAATCCCCTGCTGTTCAAAACGCATGCAGGCTGCAGCGTATGCAACACACCTCCAGCACAGTTCCAACACAGTTCGAGAACTATGCTGGAACTGTTCCGGAACTTCCAGATCAGTATCCAGCCTTAGAAGAGATATTTAATGGTTTGGAGAGGAGATATTTGATAGTCTGATGTCGTGAATGGCTTTCTGCTGCTTTCAAGCCTATAAGGACGGCGATCAAAAAAAACCACGACCTTGCAATTCCAGCGACTCGTCATTACATTTTCTTGATGACACAAGAGAGATTAACACTCACATTCTACACAGGGCTCGATTTCCGAAACTGAAACCGAAAGCGGTGTAGCTGATGATTCCAGATGTATCGAGTATCACAGTCAGCCCTTGTTTTCGATCCCAACTGCTGATTGTTTGAGGCAGAAACTCCACATCGTAAGTAGAGAAGAATACACCGCCTCGTCTAAAAAGAATATTATTGCTAAGCCACTTTGTCAAACATCCAGCTCACTTTATTTCCGAAACGAGGTCAAACTCGTTTTCATGGGTGATAACAGGATTGAATCTCAAAATCTTTTTTATACGTTCGATGTTCCGTTCGTTTGAGCCTTCCAGTGTCAGATTTGCGAAATAAGTAAGGTAGCACTTCTTCTTCTCCAATAAAGCTGCAGAAGATAGATAATCACTTGCGTTAATAAAGTACTAAAACGAAAATAGTTCTGCCGGACAAAGCGCAGGACCCAGGGGCGAAATCCTGTTCTTTCACCCATGAAGCGCACTTTACGTAAAGGAAGGTAGTACGAGTGGTTGTGAGGAATACTGTTCCCCACGCGATATGCAGTCAGGGATTTGCGCCGCGCGAGCCCCTTCTAGGCACACATAATATAGTTTGTGTTATCGGCATAATTATGAAAAATATATTTAACCGTAGCGTGATCGCTTGTACCAGTAGAGCATCAACTCTAATCCCTTTCGCCAGGCGAGAGTCACGTTAGTACATACTGAACCTAAGTTGGTCCATCGTATTGGAACATACCTTTTGAGACAGCCTATATTGACGGCACATATGCACAAAATGTCTAGCAGCACTATCATATTGGGCGGGTATAACAGCAGCGCAGCGAGAAAATCGTGATGCCTTGATCATTTGTTTGGTTTTATTTGCCGCACACAGGGCGAACTATACACCAGAATTATACAGATCGCTCTGTACCGACAATTTCAAAACATATAACTTCATAATCTTCAGGTAACTACACCAAGTAAAGGTTAAGATTCTAAATATTGAAAAGACTCCACAATGCGCTTGCCCATACGGTCGCATCTCTGCACTAACTAATTCTCCAATTCACCTAAAATCAAACTGTCACTGATTTGATCAAGTTTTAATTACTCCCCAATAGCCAAATTATCGATCATCATGTAATATGTAAGGCTCTCAATATTCCTCAAAGAAATCGTGAATCAACTAAAATGCATTTCAAGCTGTGTTGGTCAGCGGAAAGTTTATACATTTGAATCATTGGAGCGAACACTTGGTTGAGAGCGCATCGATATAACATTACCGTAACCGTTGCATCGATAGCATATGGTTGAGCGAACCAAATCCACGGTACACTCAACACGGGGTTCAAACGAGCGTTTTTATCTCTTCGAAGTTCGCCGAAGTTAATCCTTCCTTCCTTAGAAAGTGAAGGTTGAATATCCCACGTTGGAAGGGAAATACTTTATTTGCGGAGCTTTCGCAACATAGTTTTAGCAAAATAAGGACTAGGGAAGATGAATTTTATTAGCCTGTCATAAGTATGGTGGGGTTCATCCAACCTATATACAGAAACAGGCCAACAGTCAATACCTAAAAACTCAAATATCGTCCTACACGAGCATGATTATGGTACTTTTGGCACCACTGTTTTCAACAGCGCCAATAACTACAACTGAACGTCGTCTCTCAAAGCTTCATCACCAGAGAAGGAGTCCTCGAATTGGTAATGCAGAACTATGACCGGCAATAAGAGATCTTAATCGATCATTAACTTTTCTCACGATATCAGTCTGGATTGGCATGCTTTATCTCTTCATGCAACGCACGTTGACCTTTAGTAGTTCATGTCCTTGTTTTCTTGTCAAAAGGTACATCATCGTTCTTGAATATAAGAAGATATTCTCGATCTTGATTAATTCATTATCCGCGTTATCCAGATAAGGAGAAGAGGTGGGCATTGAAGCTGATCTTCCTTCTCTTGAATTTATCGATTGGCTGGAGCGGGTAGCACGGCGCTTCCGACATGGCCAAAGTAGAACAAAAATTTGCAGAACCACAATTTGGGGAAAAATGGGAATATAGGAAAGAGCCAGTTGATTCTCGTTCGAATACGAGGGCCAGATCCAGAGATAAAACAGATGAATGATTGAAAAATACCCGAGCGGAAGGAGTGGATAGAATAAACCGACGGTGCTCGAAGATAAGCAGCCGCTTAGTGGCAGGTCATGGCATTGAATGGCAGGTCACGGCATCGAATGGTTTTTCTATTCTTCTACTTTCTTCTAATTTTCTAGTTTATCTTCTTCCTTTCACGTTTCCTTTCACGTCAATGATATTGCTGCGAAGCAGTGGCTTACCCAGGATTTCCGCTCGGGAGGGGGGGGGGGGCGACGAAAATTTTTTTCGAATAAAGGTGCGTGGCGTTAGCCACTCACTCCGAAAAAATTTTGGGGGTGCTTCTCAAAATTTTTGAGGGCCCCGGCCCCTAAAACCTGGAAAAAAAAACCCGAAAAAAATCTTTTACAAGGCTAATTTGAATTTTTAGAAATTTTAAAAAATATTTTAATCATTTACAAGTATAAACAAGTCATTTGCACATTTTTATAACCCTTATAAGTAACTTTCAAAAATTTCGCGACCCATTCTCGGGGGGAGCGCCCCCTCCCCCTGCCCCCCCCCCCTCGGTACGGCACTGCTGCGAAGGTATCACTGGGATGTACCTAGTAAACGCAGGTGTTCTTGAGCAGAAAATGTTCAAGCGAATTAGAAAGAGTATAATCCTTTAATTTCGGAGTTTTGTGCTAAAACTATTTTTACTTTGCAGACGATATGACTTTATTAAATGTTCATTTCCTCATTCATAGTCAGCATGGTAAGCTTGGTTTTTTGCTGCCATGATGTTTATTCCACGATTTTTTATCATCGTAAGTTTTGATATGAAATATGCGCGGGTAGTAAGGTCATGCCATTAACTTTGTGTGCCAAAGCAGGTTTGATAAAAGGCAAGGGCCCTCGCTCGGCTTTCCGCTCGAACTTCAAATAGTTGCCTGTCACCTTAAAGTTAGGATGCTACGCATAAGCACGGACATGGTAAATTCGACCAGAGGAGAGGTCGAGAGCTACCCATGTGAACAATGTACTCTGCACGTGGTTCCAAAAAACTCATACCAGATGCTGCCTCTTCGACTTCTGTGCATTGACATCTTATGTTGCGGCAGAGACAGCATTTGGTATGGGCATTTTGCTCTTCGAGTTTTCATTGTTGTTGTTATTGTCCTAACAGTTGTTATATGCCGGGTAAGAAGTGACCATCATTCGAATGCTCTCTGTTTCAAAAAAGAAATGGATAAAGGCTTGATTACGTTTCTTAGTTTGGTGGTTTAAACAACAAATTTAGCAGTGGATTTGTTGATGCCGCCCCAAACAGGACTATAAACATTCATGCTAATGAGATGCATCTCAGCCAAAAGTAGAAAAGCAGTGTCATGACGTCCATAGAACAGTCTATTCAGTTAAAAATGTGTAAATAATTTGCCATAGAGAAAATGAGAGAAAATAACTTTTTTCTCTTATTAATGGCTGACAAGGTAACTGTTTCTCTGAGGGATTGAGAGAACAATAAACAATGAACACAAAAAGCTAGAAATGAGCAAACACTTTTCTCGAAAGTAAGCTTTGAAACTTCGTTCCTCTGCATGTAAAATAGTCGACAAAAATGTAATTTCGTGGAATATTCCTCCATATTTTGAAGCTAAGGTTGCATTGTCTAGAAATTACATCTGCCAAGGTTGGTTGTTAGAAGAATGTACCTACAACTGTCGCACGTATATGGCTGCTGTTGTGAGAAAAGGGAATTTCAATACTCCGGCGTTCAAGACATGCGCGAGAATGCTCAGTCAAATGCAGTTGACCCATGCCAGTGAGGGCGGGAGGCATGGTCTTCATTCGCTCGCTTTCGCTGGGTTTTTTCCGGAACATACTCCCAGCGGAACAGAACACCAATCTTACCGCGTGAGTTTGCGAACCCATGACTTACTGGATTTGTTGATAAAAACGGCCAATGATCGATAGCATGGGACCGAAAGGTTTGAAAGTCCGCAAAGGCGGCGCTCAATGGAGTATTTGTTCCCCTATCGGATGATGCGCAAGGCTAACATATAGCAATAGCAACTTTGATTAAGCAAGCCCCCGCACGCTTCGCAATGTTGCTATTGCCTTCGTCCTATAAAATGTGTAACATTGAAACATTTTCTAGTAGCTATCTCAAATCCGTATTCTCCATCTGCGAAATAATTATTCGCTTAAGTTATGGAGGCTCGAGAAAGTAGCCAAGGAGCAGAGAAAGCGATATAAGTCGGGATCGAGCCTGAAATTGCTGTTTGTGAGATTGATGCATTTACTTACAATCTGTAGACTAAACCACTGCAGATTCCATGCATTCAAGCCATACAAGCACGGAGCAAGACTTCCACAACTTCCTTGAATATGTTGACGGCCGCGTGCACACGAGCGTATGCATGCCCTGACTCCGTTCGAGTTCCGTGCATACCTACGTATGCACGCCAGTTCTACCTGATGTAAACGAAAAGTGGTAACTTCATGCAGTCATGATCAGGGCTCGGCACAAGGTGGCTAGATGAAAATGCAAAAAACGAAGTCCCCCTTGACTTTTGGGTATTTTTACGAAGTCCCCTCTGACCCCCCACCATATTCCCTAAAAATCCTCCAAAAAACGAAATGTCGACTAAAAAAAAACGTCGCCGAATCGCCAATTTTGCGTGTGTCTTCGGTCACAAAAACGAAACCCCCTTTGCTTTTCGTCCCAAAAACGATATCCAGCTTGCTTGTAAGCCACCTCGTGCCGAGCCCTGGTCATGATACTAGTAACCTGATTATCATATAAAACACAGGGATAGCTTGCTGTTCAGGGATCTAAAACGCAGATTTAGGTATTCAGTAGATTTTATGTGATTTAGGTCATACTCAATATCGTGACGACGGGTTTGACTGCGGTCTTTGCGCGCAAAAAATGCTCATACAAAAAGGCATCACCTCAACGCTCAGCTCAATTACTTCTAGTATCTGGTTATCACAAGTAAGCAGAAACCATGCCGGTAGAGGTGGCCAAAAAAATGAAGTTGCTGGAAGTGCGTGCGTGTCGCCCGCAGTCGCGCCATCGTCCCGATTTTTCGAATGC